ATATGTTTATGAGTTCAATTTAACAATTTTTTTTTCAGTATAGTTCGTTTATGTAATTTATGGATAATGGAAGATATTGAATGTTAGGGGAAAATATTACACAAATGCTAACAAGAAATATTAATGTGTATTAATTTATAAATGTTAATAATTTGTATCTCCTAGGATAAAATTTTTGATAGAAGATCTCAATATAAAGAATTAATGTGCGAAAAACTAGAAAAACGACAACGTTCAGCAAATTTTTGCGTCATAATTTGTAACTTATCTTCAACATATACAATTTTTGAAATGCAGCGATGATGTCGAATAGTACCAAGGAAGGTTACAGATTATTTTTAAGAATTTATTTTGAGATATATAGAAGTTTTTAAACCCTCCACCATAGTGTGGAGGGTATATTAAATTTGTCATTCCGTTTTGTAACACATCGAAATATGCATTTTAGACCCAACAAAGTATATTTATTCTTGATCAGCATAAAATTCTATGTCGATTTAGCAATATCCTTCCGTCTGTCCGTCTAGCTTCCGAACGAAATGAATTAAGTTGATAAAAATTCACTCAAAAGTGTATTATGTCCATAGGACTTTTGGTATTGAAACTGTGTCATGTAAATTAATATTTTTAATATTAATTTCTTTAAAAAAATATACCTTTATTCACTCACTTCCAAAACAGAAATGAACATAAATTACATTATTATTCTTAACAATAACTTGTTCTAAATATTATTACATCGTCAGCATAATAAATTTTCTGGTAATCAGAGTCTGGAGTATTTCGCGTGTGTTGATTGGCATACTTAGTTATTGTTTAATGCCTCCACGCGACTTCCGGTTTTTGTTGACAAATTCTGGATAATTATTGGAGTGTGGGAAAAAGCTAATGTTAGCATTTTCGGTGTTAATATTCCTCGATTGGTAGGGAATATTGGAAATGCGAAATTCCTTCGATCCCGCTTGAATTTATTTTTTGCACCTCGGATGGTTCATGCATGGAACATGAATTTGGAGGTGGTAGTACAACCAATTCCTTTTTCCTTTTCATTAATACGTATTTTAATAGCATATAACCCACTGATAGTATTGTCTTTGAAGAAAGTCCAAAACTGGTTGTCAGACTCCATTTATTATGGTTCGTCAATAAATCTATAGCCACTGCATTGTTCATTTGGAGTTCTTTAATTATTTCCAATGAAAGCGTTTCTTCTAAGTTCAATTAGGAAGACTTATGTTTTAATATTGCTGGCAAAGGTTGAAGGTTTGTGGTTTCAAAAAATTATACGTCTTATTTTCGATTATTATTGTTGTATTGTGGAATTGTATGGCATATGTTCCCAGAAGTTGTTGTGGTTCTCCATTGAGGCGGATAGTGCCGTTAAATTGGTTTAAAAAAATCGTACCAGGGGATATTATCTATTATACTGCAGTTAGATGGTTTACTCTTAATTAAATTAACTAAACAATTATCGTTATTAAGAGAAACTAAATTATCATTATTACAGATGGTAATATTATTATAATTTTTACAAACATTTCTTATACCAAAGATACTTTTATTACATAACAGTAAATTTTTGAAATTAAGTTTGCTTATAAATTTCTCAAATTTTATTGGCTTAATTAATAATTTATTACATAAAACTTTATCTGTGGTTGGGATATTTATAATATAGACAAGTGAATTGCTAATTGATGCAATTTTTATTTCTGCAAATTCAAATGCCTGTTCTATATTAACATATAGAATAGAATCTCTATTTAGTATTTCATTTACAGTGTTTATTTCGTTTGACGATCATATAAAGGGATTTACAATGCCTAATTTTGCCCAATGCATGGCATATTGGATATTAATTAATTCTTCTTTTAGTATGCTTATCTTAATTCTTAAATCTGTTATGAGTTTTTCTTTTTCAGTGTCATTATAATTTATGTGTTTTATGATTTCATTAGTTTTAATTGTTAATTCATTTATTTTCTCTAGTGACAATTTGTTAATGACGACTTGTTTGTTATTATTAGCCAATACTGTATTAGTTTTTTGCGTAATTATTTTAAAGTCATCATGATCTGGATTTCCCGCAATCCACATCCATGCTGATCCGATAAAATTCAGAGATCGTTTTACCTTTGGCCTTAGCCTATCTAAATACCCTTGAATCTCCGTCATTTCGGGTACTAGGAAAGGACGAAGGAAGTGATATTCACTAACCTTTTGGCTTACTGTCTGTAGCATATTATTGACTAGCTCTTGGTATGCATCAGTCTCTATTACATGTATTATTTTAAATGTTCCTGTCTGTAATTTTGCCGTTCCAGAATTGAAAGTCACAATATGGGAGTTCGTATAGTCCAGTATTTTAACGTCAGCCATTGTTAAACCAAAAAGTGGTCTGAAAATTGTAATTTACTAGTTCCTTATATTATTTTTGTAGACAATCTTCCCTGATTCTGTGAGAATTGTGGTATTCTTGTTTTTTTTACTATTTCCTGTCTGTAGACTTTGCTATGTTTTGTACCTAATCTCTTATTTTCTTTCACGAAAATGGTATGTTCTGGATCGTAAGTCTTTGGTTCGCATTTATTTTTGTTATGATAGTTCCTGTCGTCCAGTTGTCTTTCTTTGAATCTTTTTGTAATTTCATCTCTTTCTTTTTCAATGTCCCTTGCGTCTGTGTTTACTCTTTTTCCAAAAAAAAGCTTCAATGGGTTTCCTTTGAATAGTAGAATGTATCGAATTATTGTATTCGTAGACTGACCTGTGCAGAAGTTCAGAGAATGTTTTGTGAACATTTTCTGTTTTAAAACATCGCATTAATTCTGATAAGGTTGAGTGAAAACGTTCTATTTGCCCGTTAACATTACTACTATAAGGAGGACTTTTGAATACCTTAACATTATATCGATTTTCTAACATAAATATAATGGACTATGAATTAATTTCCTTTTCATTGTCAATAACTACTATCTCTGGAATTCCGAAAGAAATAATTATTTCTCTAACAGGTTCCTCAACATCTTTAATTGCTGTAGATTTCAAAATTTTAACATGTGCGTACTTGGAGAATTTGTCTATTGCCGTCAACATTCTTATTTTCTCTTTGATATAAATGTCCATGTGAACGATCTGTCCGGGAAACTGAGGAATCGATGTTTCGTGTATGACTATTTTATCAGGATTTCTTTCATATTTATTTTCTTTACATACCTTACATAATTTGGTGATTTTCTTTATTTTCAAATGCCTTTTAGGAAAATAAAATTTTGTTAACAATTGTGTTTTATTTTCAATACTATTCCTATGTGCCCTATTCTGTTCCTTTTTAATTTCGGATTCTTGTTCCTCTTCGCTTTTCAAATCTTTTAGCATAATTCTAGAATATTTAACCTTAATTTGAGAGAAATTAGCCTGGAATACTTCCTGTAACTTTCCCATGATATTAATTGTTGTCTTGATACAGTTACCTACAGATGGATTGAGAAATGTCCTTAAGATATTATTGAGAACTTCCGGCTTTATATTAGGCTCGTTTATAGTGTGTCTGTGAAAGGTTGGAAAAACTATTTCAAATTTATAAGATGGTTCTCCTCCATTAGAAGTTATAAAAATTTAATTTTTTAATACGTTTACAGGTGCGTCTGTATATTAATAACAGTTTAGAACAAAACAACAAATTCATCTATATTTAACACTATATAGTAATAATATATGTATGTACATATTGCATATCGGCCAAGCCGAACTTCGAATACCCTCCACCATATGGTACAAATTTGGCAAATTAAAATCCATTAACAATTCTGTAAAAATCTTAAAAATACCGAATGTAGCCGTATATTAGGGTCTATACGACGATGTGGAGCTGCATACGCAACTTTTGTCATAAGCCTGCGCAGGCTATTCCGGTGAATATTGTCGCTAAAATCATCAAAATACCGAAATTCGGGGGGTACTGTTATATGGGGGCTATACGAAGACGTCGACCTGCACAGACAATTTACTGTGTTAGGCTGTAGTATCCATTACGAACTTCAAATACCATATTTGAAACTATTCCGGTGAATAATCATCATGAAAATACCTAATATCGGGAGGTACCGTTTTATAATTTATCAACCTACTTCAATTCGTTCGGAGCTAGAGTGATTTCCACAGACAGATAGACGAACAGATATATATATATATATATATATATATATATATATATATATATATATATATATATATATATATATATATATATATATATATATATATGTATATATATATATATATATATATATATATATATATATATACATATATATATATATATATATATATATATATATATATATATATATATAACATATAATAGAAGAAAATGTTTATCTAAACATATATATATATATATATATATATATAGATGTGAAAATAATTTTTATAATCAATGGTCCAAATTTAAAGACGATTTATGTATTCCTTTTTTACAAAGTTTCTGAAAATTTGAAGTAAAATTTCTTTTGTCATAGAACAAAGGTATATTATATGTGAAGAAGACTCGCTTTGAAAAGAGGTGTTTAAAGTGTTCATTATTTTAAGAACATAAACTAACAAATTTTAATATATCTTGTTTACTATAGATAACTCATTTTGAATGAATATATATATTTTTTCAATTGCTTTCCACATTTTGTCTCAAATTTTTCTCTTATAAAATAGTGTTGCAGTACCCGTCTGGAAATAGATTTGAAAGAATCTGATTGCCTCCTTGCACTTTTGAAGTAATTTAAAATGTCTCTTACCAGCTGTTCCACGTTCTTTCACAATAACAATAGAGTCTTCTAGAAATAAACAAACACAACAATGTTGACAACTTTGAGCATGCGAAAACCACTTAGAACACCTAATATAAAAGCGCTCTGAAATTTGCTATCGCTAATTGGAAATGGCAGCGTACGACGCTTTTCATTATTTCATTTCATTGTTTTAAATACAGTGTTTAGATTAAAATATATGTAGTTCAAAGAAAGGTGGCACAATGTATAAAAAAGTGGCTCATTTAGTATCAAAATAAAAAAGTGGCACAAAGGTATCATAGCCCAAAAAAAGTGGCAAAATTGATACTTTAGTGGCACAACGGTCACGCTGTTCGGGGGTCTTGATAGCGCGTCGGCCATAGTATTAGTGCTACCGGACTTATATCGTAATTCATAATTAAAGACTTCTAAAAAATGAATATCTGCGAATTCTTGTGTCTGATCTTGATCTTTGCGCTCGAGAATGTCATATTGGTTTGCTGTGTAATCTTCTAGAGGTGTTAATTGTTCTGCTATTTCATATTCGCGCATCATGGATTCATATTCTTGAGAGTCTACGTTATTATTTTGTTCAGTGTCCAAGTGGAAGTTTCTTTGATTTTTTTCTGGTTTGCGCAATTGATTGGACTGGTCTGAAGGCCTTTTGCCTGTTGTCCGGATTGGGTCTATTCATATAGTTTACAGCCCGTGACCGCATGGATGTGTCTATTTCCATGGGCTCCGGTCGAGGTTGCGGTTTAGGTGCGACTGGCCTAGGTGGTTGACAATTATTATTTGGGAAAAAATGTGGATGAGTGGCGTATGGTGGATTATTCCTTGAATACATTGGAGCAATCGAATTATAAGTTTGGTTGTTCGGAAATGGTTGTGGCATATAAGCTAATTGTGGATAAAATGTTTTCCGGTTATTCTCTGGATTGTGAGCCCTAGAAGGTATTGGTGGGGGTGGTTGGTTATACTGCCTATTATTTTTAGGCCCACTAATGTGTGAATTTGCGAATTGAGTCCTAGTAAATTGATTTTCCCTTTTCAAACATAATTGAAGTGCCTGAGGGAGGTCCGTTGGCTCTTTCATACCAAGATGTGTTGACATCTGTCCCCTTAGACCTCTTATGAAGGTATCGAGTGCTTTGTCTCGATATGTTTGCGCAAGTAAATCAAGAGCTTCTTTTCCTATGTCCATACAGGAAAGTTTGTTCATTATCAAAGATAAATGCGAATATACTTCCCGATAAAAGGCCTGAACTTTGCTATTTCCCTGCACTAACGTAATCATTTGATATTCTAATGTAGTGAGATCGCGTTTATCTGCATAGTGAAGTGTAAGGCATTTTGAAATACTATTCTAATTAAAGGTGTATTATATGATTCTAATGCAGCATCAGCGTTACCAACTATTTTATTCCTGATAGTATTCAATATTGCAAAATATTTCGGAGTACCTTTGGATGAATCGTATAGCCTAAGTATTCTATCTACGCTTTTCTTAAAGGAGCTAAACTCAGAGGCATTGCCTGAAAATTCCCTAAGACTCCTGACTACATCGGGAACTTTGTCTAAGTCACTTAAGTTATTTACGTATCTGTCCTCTATAATTTGGTCGAATCCTGCTATGTCTTCGTTGCGTCTCAGTAATTGTCTAATAGCAATTTGGCACTGTTGTGCACAAATTCGTGCGATCGTCTCTTCTACATTAATGGTTAACTTTCTTTCGTTTGAATTTTTCGGGATTAGGGGCATTTAGAACTGGCGGTCTTATTAAATGATTGGGGTTAGACATTTTTTAAATTTTATCAATGATATAGCGGTAAGACTTTCTTTTTCTCTTTTTTTTACTCCGTTAGAATTCTTTTATGTTTCAGTAATTTACGTTTTGTATTTTCTACTATTTATTCTTTTTAAATTCTTAGTGTTTACTGATTTCATTGACTTGATTTCACTTAATGTTTTCAACATATTCACTTAATATAATTCACTTAATATGTTTAATTCAAGTTTGTTTTTTTAATCGACCTTTTCCAATGTAATTTCAATAAATAAATATTTCTTTGAGCTTTAGGTCTTGGTTTTTTTCTTTATTAAAATCCGATATTTCGCAATGGGTTACATTGCATCTTCAGGGAGATCTACAAAAATACATTTTGATTTTTATATTTCATGTTATCACAGCATTAAATTATTTAACAAAACGATAAAAGACAAACAGAAAAATACACAGAAAATAAATATATTGCTTACATGTAAAACATCTATAAAAGTGTCAAGTTTTACTTAAACCTACGATAGAATTTCACTATCATCGTCTGTGGTAAATATTGCACTGAGTTGTTTTACATATTGCACGATCTATTTTTCTGTGTGAGATGGCGGTAGCAATAAGCTGCGTTGTCGGTGTCGCTCTTATAGTTTATTCTCTTTGTTGTTGGTAGGTTATTAATATGTAACATTTCTAAAGTCAATCTCCTGTTGTAGTTACTCTCCGTTTGTAGTATTTTAATATTCTCAAAGTTTGGTGTGTGGTTATTTCTCCTGCAATGCTCAGCAAGAGCTGTCTTTTGTGTCTCATTTTCGTTTCTGCATTTGATGTTTGATTTGTGTGCAGACATTCTCGTTTTAAGTCTGTTTTTTGTTGTCCCAACGTACAGTTTCCCACATTTTTCGTTGTTGTTTCCCTCGCATTCAATTTGGTAAATTACGTTGTGTTTGTCTTCGGTGTTTATTTTGGTTTTAGTGTCGCTGAAAAACTTTTTTAGAGTGTTGTTCGTTTTTCGCGCTATTGCAAATGTATTCTTGTCGTATATGTTAGATTTTAAGAACCTTTCTGACATGTGTGGTATGTAAATCATCGACTTGTATGTTTTTTCCTCTTTTTCCTGCTTTGGTCTTGTGGGTCTATATTCAATAAAGTTGTTGATCATGTTCATTGGAAAATTATTCATTGTCAATATTTCTCTGATTTTGTTTTTGTTTCGGCTGTGGAATTTTTCGTCACTTATATTCAATACTCTGTGTACAAAATTTTTAGCAGTGTTAATTATTATTTGTTTCGGATGCTTTGAGAAGAAATTAATGATTCTGCCAGAAGCTGTCGGTTTTTGGTACCAATCAAATTCTATTTTCTCATTGTTCCTACAGACTATTGTATCCAAATAGGGTAATCTTCCATGTAATTCTTCCTCCATCGTAAATTTGATATTGTTATTAAAGCTGTTTAACATTGTCAATGTGTCTTGTATTGCACTTGCTTCAAGAATCACAAAAAGATCGTCAACATACTTCGTCACAATCGTCGGTTTTGTTGTAAGTTTTTCCAAACAGGTGTCAAGTAATTTCTCCATCACCAAATCGGCTACAATCGGAGAAGCCGGCGAACCCATTGGAAGTCCTCTCTTTTGTTTGTACACTTTGTCGTCAAATTTGAAATAGCGGTTGTCCTTGATGCAGAAAGTAAGAATATTGAAAAATAAGCCCTTTGTCATATTTGTATATTCTTTTATTTCGTCCCATCTATCTTCTATTAAACGAATTCCTAAGTCTACGGGAATGCTAGGAAACAGGGAAACAACATCAAAGGACACCATTCTTTCCGTTTTTTTGATGGTGACCTTCTGTAGTTTATCCTTAAAAGCTATAGAGTCTTTGACATTGTATCTGGAATTGCTGGTAAGATTTTTCAAAATGTTGACGATATATCTGCAGAGTTTAATTGATGGAGAATTGACTGAAGAGCAAATTGGACGCAAAGGGTAATCTTCCTTGTGGATTTTAGGAAGTCCGTATAATCTAGGAGCTGTGGCCACGTCCGTTTTCAGTCTTTTCTTTTCTAAAACTGAAATTATATTGTTTTTAAACAGTTCATCTACCAGTTCATTATTTCTTTTTATTAAATGTGTTGTAGGGTCCTTATTTATACGTTGATATATCATAATGTCATTTATTATATTATTCATTCTTTGTCTGTAGTCATTTTTATTCATTGCAACTGTAACATTCCCTTTATCAGCATTTAATATTAAAATATTTTTGTTTTTATTCACACAGAAAAATAGATCGTGCAATATGTAAAACAACTCAGTTCAATATTTACCACAGACGATGATAGTGAAATTCTATCGTAGGTTTAAGTAAAACTTGACACTTTTATAGATGTTTTACATGTAAGCAATATATTTATTTTCTGTGTATTTTTCTGTTTGTCTTTTATCGTTTTGTTAAATAATTTAATGCTGTGATAACATGAAATATAAAAATCAAAATGTATTTTTGTAGATCTCCCTGAAGATGCAATGTAACCCATTGCGAAATATCGGATTTTAATAAAGAAAAAAACCAAGACCTAAAGCTCAAAGAAATATTTATTTATTGAAATTACATTGGAAAAGGTCGATTAAAAAAACAAACTTGAATTATACATAACACGGAGAGCACGCCGGAAAACAACAACAAAATGATTTACAAAAATATTAAAAGCAAAGGTAACATCAAACACAGCATAAACAAACACAAGAACACAAAAGTTAAAGCGGAAAAAATCAAATGTTCACTAACATTTCTGATAAGATGTCGCAATCATGGTGTCATACCAAACTTTATAAAAAATGCTCTAAAAAACATTTACAAACTGTTTAAAAATTCATACAGATTGGACATTCACAAAACTTTAAGAGGACATATTGACACATTTCAAAACAAAATTCTCAGCCTAATCATAAAACAAAAGCACTTAGAACTAAAAAACAACAACAAAGAAATACTCACAATAGAAAAACATTTAAACAACCATTTAACAGAAGAAGAGAAGAATTGCATTACGCTCAATGAACAAAATATAACATCAAATATACAAAACAAAATCAAGAACACACAGAAAGAGAAATTTGATAAACTAAAAAAACAACAAATGATAGACCTTAACATAAAACATAATGAAAAATGGTTCGTCAACAAAACAGAAACCCAAATTCCACAAGATGTAAAGTGGCTTCTATCTCTTGGTGACAAATTCGGTCTACCAACAAAAAAATCACAGTTCCCGTTATTTAAGCTCATAGCAGACGGGGATGATGTTATTCAAACATGGAAGGACAAAGAGAAACAAGAAGTTATGAGAACGAAGTTTACGACAATGATTGACTCACACATCAATAAGATGAGAGAAGACGGGAGAGATAAGTTTATAAATAACACAGTGGAACACACTCGAGCTTTTTTGAATAAAAACAAAAATATTTTAATATTAAATGCTGATAAAGGGAATGTTACAGTTGCAATGAATAAAAATGACTACAGACAAAGAATGAATAATATAATAAATGACATTATGATATATCAACGTATAAATAAGGACCCTACAACACATTTAATAAAAAGAAATAATGAACTGGTAGATGAACTGTTTAAAAACAATATAATTTCAGTTTTAGAAAAGAAAAGACTGAAAACGGACGTGGCCACAGCTCCTAGATTATACGGACTTCCTAAAATCCACAAGGAAGATTACCCTTTGCGTCCAATTTGCTCTTCAGTCAATTCTCCATCAATTAAACTCTGCAGATATATCGTCAACATTTTGAAAAATCTTACCAGCAATTCCAGATACAATGTCAAAGACTCTATAGCTTTTAAGGATAAACTACAGAAGGTCACCATCAAAAAAACGGAAAGAATGGTGTCCTTTGATGTTGTTTCCCTGTTTCCTAGCATTCCCGTAGACTTAGGAATTCGTTTAATAGAAGATAGATGGGACGAAATAAAAGAATATACAAATATGACAAAGGGCTTATTTTTCAATATTCTTACTTTCTGCATCAAGGACAACCGCTATTTCAAATTTGACGACAAAGTGTACAAACAAAAGAGAGGACTTCCAATGGGTTCGCCGGCTTCTCCGATTGCAGCCGATTTGGTGATGGAGAAATTACTTGACACCTGTTTGGAAAAACTTACAACAAAACCGACGATTGTGACGAAGTATGTTGACGATCTTTTTGTGATTCTTGAAGCAAGTGCAATACAAGACACATTGACAATGTTAAACAGCTTTAATAACAATATCAAATTTACGATGGAGGAAGAATTACATGGAAGATTAGCCTATTTGGATACAATAGTCTGTAGGAACAATGAGAAAATAGAATTTGATTGGTACCAAAAACCGACAGCTTCTGGCAGAATCATTAATTTCTTCTCAAAGCATCCGAAACAAATAATAATTAACACTGCTAAAAATTTTGTACACAGAGTATTGAATATAAGTGACGAAAAATTCCACAGCCGAAACAAAAACAAAATCAGAGAAATATTGACAATGAATAATTTTCCAATGAACATGATCAACAACTTTATTGAATATAGACCCACAAGACCAAAGCAGGAAAAAGAGGAAAAAACATACAAGTCGATGATTTACATACCACACATGTCAGAAAGGTTCTTAAAATCTAACATATACGACAAGAATACATTTGCAATAGCGCAAAAAACGAACAACACTCTAAAAAAGTTTTTCAGCGACACTAAAAGCAAAATAAACACCGAAGACAAACACAACGTAATTTACCAAATTGAATGCGAGGGAAACAACAACGAAAAATGTGGGAAACTGTACGTTGGGACAACAAAAAACAGACTTAAAACGAGAATGTCTGCACACAAATCAAACATCAAATGCAGAAACGAAAATGAGACACAAAAGACAGCTCTTGCTGAGCATTGCAGGAGAAATAACCACACACCAAACTTTGAGAATATTAAAATACTACAAACGGAGAGTAACTACAACAGGAGATTGACTTTAGAAATGTTACATATTAATAACCTACCAACAACAAAGAGAATAAACTATAAGAGCGACACCGACAACGCAGCTTATTGCTACCGCCATCTCACACAGAAAAATAGATCGTGCAATATGTAAAACAACTCAGTTCAATATTTAACACAGACGATGATAGTGAAATTCTATCGTAGGTTTAAGTAAAACTTGACACTTTTATAGATGTTTTACATGTAAGCAATATATTTATTTTCTGTGTATTTTTCTGTTTGTCTTTTATCGTTTTGTTAAATAATTTAATGCTGTGATAACATGAAATATAAAAATCAAAATGTATTTTTGTAGATCTCCCTGAAGATGCAATGTAACCCATTGCGAAATATCGGATTTTAATAAAGAAAAAAACCAAGACCTAAAGCTCAAAGAAATATTTATTTATTGAAATTAATATGTTTTCTTAATTGTTATAATTTATACTTAATACCTATGCTTAATTTAACTTACAATATTACAGCTATCAGCATGTTGGGTTGAAAGCTTGACTTTATCCTTTTCCAGATGTACTTGGGGGTCTTTAGCTTCACTGTTATCCCTTCCGTCAACCTGTTGATTGTCCTTATCTGATGAGCTCTTCACTTATGATTCTCCTTTTGGATTTCAGCTTATGAGGTGATTTTTCCTTTCAGATTAGTTTTGCAGCTTATGAGGTGATTTTTCCTTTCAGATTAGTTTTGCAGCTTATGATTCCTTTCAGATAAGTTCTGCAGCTTATGAGGTGCATTTTATTCCGTTTTATCTTTCACAGCTTATGAGGTGCTTTTTTCCGGTTTTGCCTTTGCAGCTTATGAGGTGCTTTAAACTTCTACGTTGGGCTCCAATTAATATTTTTAATATTAATTTTTTAAAAAATATATACCTTTATTCACTCACTTCCAAAACAGAACTGAATATAAATTACATTATTATTCTTAACAATAACTTATTCTAAATATTATTACATCGTCAGCATAATAAATTTTCTGGTAATCAGCGTCTGGAGTATTTCGCGTATGTTGATTGGCATATTAGTTATTGGTTAATGCCTCCACGCGACTTCCGGTTGTTGTTGACAAATTCTGGATAATTATTGGGGTGTGGGAAAAAGCTAATGTTAGCATTTTCGGTGTTAATACATTAACGAAATATGGGAAACGCAAACTGTAGCGTTTTTGGTATTAACATGTAGGTCCACGTCTTCGTATAGCCCCGATATGCGGTATTTTGATGATTTTAGCGACAATATTTATCGGAATTGTTTCAAAATTGGTATCTGTCTACAGACTAAGATAGAAAATGACCCATATAACGGTATCCCCTAAATCCGGTTCTTGATGATTTTAGTGACATTATTTGCCGGAATTGTTTCAAATTTGGTATTTGAAGTTCGTAATGGATACAACAGCCTAAGACCGAAAATGTAGGTCCACGTCATCGTACAGCCCCCATATAAGGGCACCCCCCGATATTCGGTATTATGATGATTTTAGCGACATTATTCACCGGAATTACAGCCTATGCCAGAAAATTGTCTGTGCAGGTCCACGTCTTCGTATAACCCCCACATAACGGTACCTCCCGATATTCTGAATTTTGATGACGTGACCGACATTATTTACCAGAATTGTTTCAAATTTCGGATTTTAAGTTCGTAATGAATACTACAGCCTATGACAGAAAATTGTCTTTGCAGGTTCACGTCTTCGTATAGCCCCCGTATAACGGTACCCTCGGTATTCGGTATTTTGATGAGTTTAGCGACATTATTTACCGGTATTATTTCAAATTTTGTAGTTGAAGTTCGTAATGAATAAAACAGCCTATTCCAGAAAATTTTCTACGCAGGTCTACGTTTTATAACCCCCATGGTACCTCCCTATATTCGGTATTTTGATGATTTTTCTACATAAAAAACACATATTTTTCAAGTTTCGCAATTGAATATTAGAATTTGTGTAATGTTTTCCCCTAACATTCAATATCGTCCATTATCCGTAAATTACATAAGAGAACTATACTGACTAAGCTGAAAAATTGTTAAATTGAACTCTTAAACACATAAATTAGATATTATTGTAGCAAACCATGTGTATGTATCAATGCAAAAAAATCCCTTCCGTCAACCTGTTGATTGTCCTTATCTGATGAGCTCTTCACTTATGATTCTCCTTTTGGATTTCAGCTTATGAGGTGATTTTTCCTTTCAGATTAGTTTTGCAGCTTATGAGGTGATTTTTCCTTTCAGATTAGTTTTGCAGCTTATGATTCCTTTCAGATAAGTTCTGCAGCTTATGAGGTGCATTTTATTCCGTTTTATCTTTCACAGCTTATGAGGTGCTTTTTTCCGGTTTTGCCTTTGCAGCTTATGAGGTGCTTTAAACTTCTACGTTGGGCTCCAATTAATATTTTTAATATTAATTTTTTAAAAAATATATACCTTTATTCACTCTCTTCCAAAACAGAACTGAATATAAATTACATTATTATTCTTAACAATAACTTATTCTAAATATTATTACATTGTCAGCATAATAAATTTTCTGGTAATCAGCGTCTGGAGTATTTCGCGTATGTTGATTGGCATATTAGTTATTGGTTAATGCCTCCACGCGACTTCCGGTTGTTGTTGACAAATTCTGGATAATTATTGGGGTGTGGGAAAAAGCTAATGTTAGCATTTTCGGTGTTAATACATTAACGAAATATGGGAAACGCAAACTGTAGCGTTTTTGGTATTAACATGTAGGTCCACGTCTTCGTATAGCCCCGATATGCGGTATTTTGATGATTTTAGCGACAATATTTATCGGAATTGTTTCAAAATTGGTATCTGTCTACAGACTAAGATAGAAAATGACCCATATAACGGTATCCCCTAAATCCGGTTCTTGATGATTTTAGTGACATTATTTGCCGGAATTGTTTCAAATTTGGTATTTGAAGTTCGTAATGGATACAACAGCCTAAGACCGAAAATGTAGGTCCACGTCATCGTACAGCCCCCATATAAGGGCACCCCCCGATATTCGGTATTATGATGATTTTAGCGACATTATTCACCGGAATTACAGCCTATGCCAGAAAATTGTCTGTGCAGGTCCACGTCTTCGTATAACCCCCACATAACGGTACCTCCCGATATTCTGAATTTTGATGACGTGACCGACATTATTTACCAGAATTGTTTCAAATTTCGGATTTTAAGTTCGTAATGAATACTACAGCCTATGACAGAAAATTGTCTTTGCAGGTTCACGTCTTCGTATAGCCCCCGTATAACGGTACCCTCGGTATTCGGTATTTTGGTGAGTTTAGCGACATTATTTACCGGAATTATTTCAAATTTTGTAGTTGAAGTTCGTAATGAATAAAACAGTCTATTCCAGAAAATTTTCTACGCAGGTCTACGTTTTATAACCCCCATGGTACCTCCCTATATTCGGTATTTTGATGATTTTTCTACATAAAAAACACATATTTTTCAAGTTTCGCAATTGAATATTAGAATTTGTGTAATGTTTTCCCCTAACATTCAATATCGTCCATTATCCGTAAATTACATAAGAGAACTATACTGACTAAGCTGAAAAATTGTTAAATTGAACTCTTAAACACATAAATTAGATATTATTGTAGCAAACCATGTGTATGTATCAATGCAAAAAAAAAAAAAAAAAACAAGTAAAAAAGCTGTAAGTTCAGCCGGGCCGAACTTTGAAGTCCCCCACAATATGGAACAAATTTCAATTTTCAAAAAAATAAAATACGTTAAAAATTCTGTTAAAATCTTAAAAATACCGAATATAGCCGTTATATTAGGGTCTATACGTCGCCGTGGACCGGCATAGGACACTTTTGTCAAAAGCCATTACAATGCACAAATGCGATACTTGAAAAAAATCTGTTTATAATGTCGCTAAAATCATCAAAATACAGAATATCGGGAAGTATCGTTATATGGGGGCCATAAGAAGACGTGGACCTGCACAGACAGTTTTCTGTCATAGGCTGTAGTATTCATTACGAACTTCAAATTTGGTATTTGATCCACGTCTTCGTATAGCCCCTACATAATGGCACCTCCCTATATTTGGTATTCTGATTATCTTGTCTACATTATTCACCGATTTTTTTTCAAGTTTGGCATTTGCATATTGCA